CCGGGGTTGGTATGAATCAATGTAATATATGGGGAAGGATGCAACCGGCTTCGTCATCCGAACAACCCCGCAAGTGCTTGCACAACCTGGGGGACGGTGCTTCCCTGCGTGTCAGTGCGGATACATCCGTCTGACTTGCTACTAGGCTGCGAGCATGTTGTGTTGTCCCAAAGGCCGCGTGGGCTGGCCTGGGGTGGGAGTGGGGGCGGGACGGGTTGGGAGTGGTGCGGGTCGTTGTCGGCTCGGCGCGGGCAGCGCGGGCGCGGGTAAGGATGCGATCTCCTGGAACACGCGTGTCGTGCCGGCCGTTTGACTATCGTTTTGTACTTTTCTTGGTGTACCTGTGTTAGTGCCACGAGTGCGCGCCAGTCCCGTGCCCAGTGAGTTGAACTTGTAGAGAGAGTTTTGTTGTAAAATTTAAGAAAAATCTCTCACACTCTATTATTGGCTTTCTCGGATCTCGCGAGCGCCCGTGCTGGGTGCTGGGCTGCTGGCCCGTACCGGATACGGCTTTACGCGCGAGGGTGTTTTCATTGTGTTCACAGACCTTGTCAATGTCATTGAGAAGAAAATACGTCCTATCTATGCACTATGGTGCTTGCGCGCTATGAGCGGTTGAGCTTGAGGTGTGACGCCGCCACAGTGTCAGCGGAGTGACGGGGCCCTCTGGACTCTGTGCGTCTGCTGGAGAGGCCCTGGGTGTGGGTCCCGGACGAGATGCAGATGCATCTCCGAGATGGGAGACTACCTTCACACAACGTTTGGTTCTGATAATCTGAACATGTAGCTGCCTCCCAAAGCCAAAGCGCGGCGTCGTCCGTAGCCTGCGTGTTGCTCTGCACCTCACACGCTGCGACGTGAGATATGCGAGAGAGCTCCAACTCGCAACTGCTTCCGACTTCTTCCTTCTGGTCAAAAGCCGTACGTAGACACAGAATCGCATCGAGATCGAGCGAGAGCCAACCAGAGAGCCGACACGCACAATAGACAGGCAGCGCGACACCCCGGCCGGCCGCCAGCACTCCCGCCGTTCGGCTTCAGGCACGCTAAATTGGCTCAGCGCTTGCCTCGCTCGTGTGCGCCCCTCCCTGCGCGGCGCCCCCCTCCTCCGCGCCCGGACATGTTGGTGAGGTACGCCTGTCGCCTCGCCGCCTTGCGCGCCGCGCCCGCCCCAGCCTGGCCGTGCACTCCGCCGCCGGGGCGGCTGCTTCCGGTCGCAACCTTGCCCGCGCCGCGAGGGAAGGGGAGGGCATCCTTGCCAGGTGCATCCTTGCCGGGCGCCTGCTTGCCGGGCGCCTGCTTGCCGGGGCCTGCTTGCCGGGCGCCTGCTTGCCGGGCGCCTGCTTGCTCGGCTTGCCTTTGTTGGCCCGCTTGCCTTTCCCGCCCACGTCCGCCTCCACGTCCGCCTCCTCCACGACACCGGGTACGGGACTGGCACTGCAAGTGCGTCGTACAGGGAGCGCGCTCACTCCGCGACACCATTGTTCTTGGCGACATAAGTATATGTATGTAGATAGGAGGGGGCAAGAATTTCGTCAGGGAGGGGGAACACAGGAAGAGCGGAACGAGACGAATCGGAACTGGGAACTAAACTCAACATTTTAAGAGAGCGCGTAAAAGCTAAAACCATCGAGATACGAAAATAAATAAAATGGAGACTTTCTTTTCTCCACTGCATATTTTTGCATCACATACCACGAGTACTAGGTGTAGAGACTTTCCAGCGCGCGTCTCTGAGACTCAGTGGTCCTTGTACGGCGTCAGCGTCCAGACGTCTGTCGCGATCCGCCACGCTGCGCTCCCTCGCGCCTGCTCCAGCCGAAAGTATCCGCGCCCGCACGACCCGCCCGCCGTGCACGTCTCAAAGAGGTGGTGGATGACACCCTCACCCTCCCTCTCCGCCCAGAGGGGAGTGAGTTTGACCGCCGCAGGAGTGGGCGAAGATGCCTCTGCGGCGGCGAAATCTGCAGCCGGCTCGAGCCGATCCGCAGAGGCGGTGATCACACGCCCGCCAGGCGTATAGAGCCGAGAGAGCGCGGCGGTCCCGTGAGCAGCGGACCAGTCAGCGTCGACCTTGGCTGCAATCTCGAGAGGCGTGGGCAGAGCGGCGGCGCCGGCGGCGGCCGGGAAGATGGCAGCAATGGCGTAGAAGAAGGCAATGAAGCCGGCGATTGTCCCGAAGAATCGCGCATAGTCCAACGCGCCCATCGGCTCGTCGTCGCCATTCCCTGCCATGTCGCGCTGCTCTGTGACAGCTTCCTCATCGGCGCTCGAGCACACGACAAAGGTGCGGAGTCGGCATGCAGCGGTAAATACATGACAACGTGGGTTTGCGATACTCCCACCGTGACTGAAGAGGGTGGGCCGCAACGAGCAGCTGAGCGTGCAGAGGGCGAGAGCCATGTGCCTGACTCGATGCTCGTTGCTTGAGGCCGCCGGTGAGCAAAAAAAAACCGCGGGGCGGCCAGTTGCAGCTCTCCGCGCCCACACTCTCACTCTGGGACACGTGATCGTGGGACAAAAGCACAAAAAGGAAACATCTAATCCTACATATCGCGTGCGGTGCCCCACATGCGAGTGCGGCTCACTCTCAAGCACACTCACGCCTGCACACGCTCCGCCTGCTCTGCCTGCCTCTCAACACGGAGTTCGCCAGTGGCGTACTCTCCCCATGCGCCGTCAGGGAAGCGCGACGCCACCGCCGTGTGCAGCTCGCGCGTCCAGTACGGGTGGCCCGGCGGCGGCACTCCCAGCCGGCTCTTGCGGTCGACTGAGGCGCGGTTGAGCACGTCCTCAGCGCCAAAATACATACTCCGGCAGAACCCGAACTCGGCTGCTCGCGCAACCGCCCGCTCTCGCGGCTCGCTGCCGTCCTCCGGCAGGCAGAGGCGGCAGTTCCACGCGGTGATGTGCCGGACGTCGCTCCGTGCGTAGACAAGGTTGAGGACGCGGCGAACAGGTCCTCCTGGCTTCAGCGGCGCGCCGCGGTGCCACGTGTCGAGGCGGTAAAGCAACAGCGTGCCGGGCCTGTACCGCACGGCAGCTTCGCGCGCGTAGAGCGCGGCGCGGAAGCGGGCCGTCTCCGGATCGCGCTGCTGGAAGTACCTCTCGGCCGCAGTGCGGTCGTTCACCCAAGGTACTCCCCCGACGCCAGGCATGCGCGTGTAAGGCCACGCGTAGGCGGCATCCGAGGGCCCGTTCCTAGGCACCAAATGGGTGGCACCTCCGCACTCCTCCTCGTGGTCGAAGTAGAGGATGGCCGCGACCGCCTCTGGCGAGTCCCACGGCGCCGGGTGGGTGAGGTAGTGATTGGGGTAGTCCATGTGCATCCTCTGGTCGCTGTTGGAGTAAGAGAGCTTGGGGTCGGGCAGCCACGATGGCGCCGGAGACTTGCTCCACGCCTCGCTCTGCAGGAGCGTCAGGCTGCCCGTGCCGAGCAGCTGGCGGACGGCCGAGCGCGGCCTCCGATGGGTCGAAATCTTGTTGAGCGCGTCGGACGAGGACGGGAGCATCAGCCCACGAGTGAGTGGCCCTGGCGGCGTGGCAGCCATCTCCTCCTGTGCGGCTGAGACCAGCTCCTCGGGCACCAAGCCTTGCACGAGCACAAACCCCTGATCGCGCCATGAACTCACTTGCTGAGGCGTGAGCGGCACATCGTCATCCGGCAGCGCGTCTGTCGGACTGATCATCGGCGGCCCAGGTCTAGAGTTGCGCAGATCCATTCCCTTGGCAGCGGGTAACGAGCTCTTCACGAACTGGCGATCAGCGATCAGCGATCACGCTGAAAGGTCGCTGAACGACCCGGTTTCATTTTTTTCTTCTTCAAGGCAGAGCCCCCTCCGTGTCGCGATGCGCTCCCCTTTCCCGTTCCCCTGTGCCCCTGATCGTCCTTCATAGTCGGGCAGCAGGAAGGAAGCAACGGGCCGTCCACCTCGACGCCGATGCGCCAGGTCGAGCGAGTAGCCGGTGCGCGGCTCGTAGTCGTTCTGCTGTGTGGCACGGCGGAGGAGCTCGTGCGCGTCGTGCTCGCAGGCTTCCTCCTAGCGAACGTCCTAGCGAGCGAAGCACAAGCTTGCAGGAGCACAAGCTTGCGCGCCTCACGTCCTCGCAGAAGCAGACAACATCCTTCGCGTCAGCCGCCTCCTGGCCATCGCTGTGCCGCGTGTTGGCGTGTAAACGGCGAAGAGGTTTGTTCGATGTCGACAATGTAGGGTCGTTTCTCGAGTCGTTTCGGGTCAGACGGTAATAGCATACGGAGAGTCCTGGGGGGTCGAGTCAGAGGCGGTGTGCATCTTCGAGGTCGTCAGTTGAGAGAGTGAGTGGATTCGGGCTCTGCAGAGCGTTCGAGAGTCTCCCGAACCCGATCATTCCGGTCCGTGAGGGCGAGTCTTTGGTCCGAGGCAAGTGAAGTTCCATAGAATACTTGAGTCGAGACGATGGAGAGGGGGGACGACACTGCTTCAGCAGCGTGCACCTCGACGTCCTGTACCGTGTTTGTTATGACCCCCCCCAATGAACAAACCAGTGAGGGAGGGCGAGACGATCGAGGCCACGAGGGGTCCCGTACCATGCGGAATCGACCCTATCCCAGTGCTCAGTGCTCAGTCGAGGCTATCGCCGGCGCCCCGCTGCCTCTGCCACCGCCGGCGCCACTGCCGCTGCCGCCTCCGCCGGAGATGCAGACGCCGGCGTCATATCCTCTACACGAACTTTACGATGGCGCAAAAGGCGCGAAGCAGCCAGCGCAGACCATGTGAGTTCGGTGGCATGCAGCTCTTTGCGCCTGAAGCTTGGAGAGCAGCTCCTCTGGCTCTGCTGCTCACACGCTCTGCACAGATGGCACAGCCTACTGTGCGGCTGCCACAGCTGTGACAGCGATGGGCTCGCCCTCACTTTGGCCCTCACTGGCCCTCAGTCACTTGTGCTGCGGCTTGTGTGAGCGACACTGCTCGGCGACTGCCGGCACACTGTGAGACCATGGGTGTGAGGTCAAACCACACGCTACCAGCGCTTGGTCACATCGGCCCCGAGGTCAGTTCCTTCTACTCTGTTAGTGACACGAAGACTTGTCTACTGGCTGGAGCCGAGCAGGAGGGCCCGGCGCACAACCCCAGGTCAACTCACGGTCCAAACCCCCCGTGTTTTGCTTTTGGGGGCGGGTTTTGCAAAGGAGACTTTTTGCAACTAGAAAAAACGAGAAATAAATGGATTACAGTACCGGAGTACGCGATACACCCTGCGTACAACATAGAACATTCTGGATGCAGGGCAACAAACGATGCAAGAATGGGTGAGGGTGTGGCACACCGTGTGTGTGGGAGACTCGAGGAGATCGTGGGCCGCACACCCCTTCGCCCCACGTCCCCGGCTCCGCCGAAAGCGAAAGCCGAGAGGCGGCGCCGCGCCGTCGGTCAGACGAGCCCGCCCGAGACGACGAGGTTCGCCCCGGTGGTGTACGACGCCTGGAGCGGGAATACGCCTGTGGTGATCGGCTGACTGAATACGAAAGCGTGGGAGTGAGAGGCCAACTTTTGGGCCGGGGGACACAGACGCTCCGTGCTCCGCGTCTAGGGGTGCGCCGCCTCCTCGCTGAGCAAAAAGGCGACCGTGCGGACCACCTCGGAGGAGGAGCCTGGGGTATGGCAGAGCCCGCCGGAGTCAGGGGGGTGCGGTCTCGTGCAGGTCTCGTGCAGTGTTTTCAGAGCACATCGCGTGAAGGCGCCACAACGCCGAGGGCGTGACTGCGGCGGAATACAGGCCGGGTGCGCGTGAGCGCTGCTTGGAATGCCGGGATGCACCCTCCCCGCATCTAGGCCTCGAGATCTGGGGAGATCTGGGGAGATCTGGGGAGATCTGGATGCATCTTCCGCATCTAGGAGGAGGGGCCGAGCCGGCGCATCGGCACGGAGGACAGCTTGGCCGCGCCGACCTAGGGGTAGGGTGTGCGGGTTCGGGTCCGGGATCGGGCGGGGGAGAGGTCCCGCCCCGAACTGCGAGTTAAGGGCGGGATCCGGGAGGGTAGGAGCGCTAGGGACGAGAAGAAGAACGCCTGCGCCGGCTCGCGCGCAAAGAAGGGCGAGCCGGACGCGGCGTGCAGGCTGTTTTGCCTAGGAACGGTCCAGGACAGGTCTAGGACAGGTCTAGGAAAGGACGCGCGGCGTGCGGGCTGTGTTGCCGCTCCCACATCGCCGAGTCGATCAGCGCCGGGCTGACGGCGTTGACGCGGATGCGGTGCGGAGCGAGGTCCTGCGGAGGAGGGGGTGGGGGGGGGTGGGGAGGGGGTGGGGAGGGGGTGGGGAGGGGGGAGGGGTCAGGGAGCGGTCAGGGAGGGTGTGGGGTGGGGGGTGGGGTGTGGGGTGGGGTGGGGGGTGGGGTGGGGGCGGGCGCCGCATCTCGTCTGGCAGGGGGCTGCGCTCCTTTGCTGCGCTGAGGGTCATGCCGACGATGGCAGCCTGAGGCGGCGAGGGGAGGGCGGGGGGGCCTGAGGCGGTGAGCACAACCGCGGATCGGCCGGAGAGAGGGAGGTGAGAGGCCTGGCGAGGGCGGCGAGGGCGGCGAGAGGGCGAGAGAGGTCCAGGAGAGGTCTAGGAGAGGTCTAGGAGAGGTCTAGGAGAGGGCTAGGAGAGGGCTAGGAGAGGGCTAGGAGAGGGCTAGGAGAGGGCTAGGAGAGGGCGGCGAGAGAGGGCGCGGGCGAGAGGGGAGAGGAGCGGAGTCCCGAGGCGCCGCCTTTGAAGCGACGTAGGCGACCATTGTGGGGAGATACGTGGGGAGATATGGGGAGATAGCCGCCTTTGAAGCGACGTAGGCGACCATTGTGGGGAGATACGTGGGGAGATATGGGGAGATAGCCGCCTTTGAAGCGACGTAGGCGACCATTGTGGGGAGATGTGGGGAGATGTGGGGAGATAGCCGCCTTTGAAGCGACGTAGGCGACCATAGTGGGGGTGCCGCGCAGCGCAGCGGCGGAGGCGGTGTTGACGATGGCGCCGCCGCCCGACTCTCGCATCGCGCCGCCCACCGCCTGCAGCACATGGAAGGCACCAACCACGTTGACCTGCAGCGTCTGCTCAAAGTCTGCCGGTGGGTAGTCGAGCGTGGGAACCATCGCGCCCTGCACGCCCGCGTTATTCCAGCAGAGGTCGATGCAGCCAAACGCGGCGACGCCGGCCTTCACCGCCGCCTGGACGCTCGCTCGGTCGCATACGTCGCAGGCGGCCGTCACACATTTGGCCTCGGGGTTAGCAGAGCGAACAGCGGCGAGCGTCTGGCCGAGCGCCGCGGCGCCCAAGTCGAGGGCGATGATGTTCGCGCCGTGCGTGGCAAAGTAGACGGCGCCCTCGCGCCCCAGCTCGCCTCCGGCGCCAGTGATGAGGACGGTCTTGCCCTCGAACCGCTGCTGCAGGCCGCCGGCCGCCGGCTCCGCCTCGGCGTCCGCCATGAGAAGCATATCTCCCATGCTCCGGCCCGCAGCCTGCGAGTGCCTGTCGCTCCTCTCGGCGAGGGCGGCGGTGGGCGGCCACGTGAGGGCGAGCCCGGCGGCCGACGCAGCGGCTGTGACTCGGCGAAGCAACATACCCTTGTGACACTGGCAAAAGAATTTTAAAGGCCGACAGTACAACACAACAAAAAACAGAGCTCAGTTGAGATTTTTCTTTTTTGCCGCGGCGAGAATGCCCTCCGCTCACCGCCCTCTAATCCTGAGAGCGCCATGTCGCTCAAGCACGTCCTGCTCTGCCGGCAGCGTCGCCCGACAGCGCTGGTTGCTCTCTTCCACGGCCTCGGCGACAACTGCACCACGCTGCGGCCCGTCGCCGAGCGCTGGCTCGCCGCCCTGCCGTCGGTGGCCTTCCTGCTGCTCGAGGCGCCCGACCGTGACTACTTTGCGCGCGAGCTCTTGTCGGGCGCGTGGTCGGGTGACTGGTACAGGGAGCAGCGGCCGCGTGCCGCTGGCGAGACGGCCGAGCAGCACTACACCGCCACCATCTCGGACCGCTGCGACCACGTCAGCGGCGTGCTCGACGACCACCTCGTGTCGCTCGGCGTCGGCAACGAGCGGCTCGTCCTGGCGGGCTTCTCGCAAGGCAGCGCCCTCGCCGCCTACACCGGCCTGCGGCGGCGCTGCCTCGGCGTGCTCGCCCTCGGCGGCCCGTGCCCGCCGCGCGAGCGCCTGCTGCCCGACAACAGCGTGACGCGGGTCTGCTGCGTGGTGGGCGACGCTGACCCGTACGCGCCGCACGCGGCCCTCGCCGCCGCGCTGGCAAAGTACCCGCCCCGCAGCCCGGCCGAGGGCGTGCACGTGGTACAGGGGATGGAGCATGAGGTGACGGAAACGTCGGTCGCGAAGGGACTCGCCTTCCTCTCCTCGCTGCTGCGGGACACGGCCCCAATATGAGTAGACGCGCAATATGAGTGTCGCGATGAGCTTTAGTGTTTAGAGTTCTCTAATCAACACACATGTACATATGTGCATGTACGGCACACACTCACAGAAGACAGATATCACGGGGACGTGAGCAACACGCACAGTGTCATCCCGCCGGGGTGGGTGCGCCACACTGTGCACACACATGGACATGGGAGCTCTAAGTATTAAGAGCAACCATGCAGCCAGGAGACCGTGCGCGACCCCCGGCGCGAGGGTAAATGTCTCCTCGCCGCCCTCTTGAGAGTGGTGTCGGCGGCTTGCGCTCAGGCATCACTTCGGACTAGCCACTTCGCGATCGACGTCCGCCGCTCGGGTTCGTGGGAGGGGCTGATCACATGGCTGCTCGTGTCCGAGCGGTAGCTGTGGCCGGCATCCTCCGCCACCGCCTCCTCCTCTTCTACCGGCGAGCGGAAGTCGGACTCTGCCTCTGGCGGCCCCGCAATCGACGGAGACGCAAAGGGAGACCAGAACCCGGAGAGCCGCTGTGAGGTGCGGAGCGCTTTGAAGCGAGCCATCATAGAGTGCAGCTCCGTCTTCTCGGCCACTTCGCCATCGTAGCCGCTGACCCGGAAGGCCATGCTGAAGCGAGAGTCGCGGGCCGGAGTCTCCGAAAAGCGCGCAGCAGCCGGCGGCGTGGTAGGAGCATCAGTCGGCGGCGTGGTGAGAGTATCAGCCGGTGGCGTGGCGAGAGTTTCAGCTGACAGCGGTGGCGACTCCGGCAGGCAGCGGCGAGCCCAGGAGCAGAGCTGCGACATGCACGAGAATCAAAACCCGGCTCCTCTCACTCATCGGGCGAGCATTTTGTTCTTCGCTGAGATGTTCACCTCACGCGTCCGTTATTCCTCTAAGGGAGTGTGTCTTGTGAGCCTGTTTGTGTCTGTGTGTCGCTCGTGCGTGCCGTCATCATCTGTCCAGCGTCCACCCATACCGCGTTGGTTGGTGTCCGCCAGTCCGAGCCTGGCTGTTCTTCACCTTCCTACATACATACATACATGAGCGATTCTAAGATCAGGTCTGCCACCTCCCCGCTGGAAACGAAAATCTAAGTTACAAATCTCGAATAAATCTCGAAGCACACTTGAATGCTCACTTGGCAGGTAACATATGCGCCACGCGCCCCAACCGCTCCTCTGGTCGCCGCCGGCCTCCGCGGCGGCGGCGATGTCCCAGCGCCACCCATCGGCCAGCCCTCAGATCGATCGATCGGCGCTCAAAGTCGGCTTCAGATCCGAGAACGCTGCTGGCGCCGCCGCCGATCCCAGCGGCGACGCCAGCAGCTTCCTCTGCTCTCCAATGCGCCGAGAAGCGACGCGGGGGTGCTCGGCCCGCCATGCACGACGAAGGCTCCGCCGGGCGCGCGTCGGCCGGTCCGGTGGCACCCTCTGCGCGCGGCACCTGCCGGCGCCCCGACGACAGCCGTCGCGCCACCGCTGATGGAGGGGCGGTCGGCGCCGCTGCCGCCGCGCTGCCGGTGGGAGGGGCACTGGTGGTGGCCTGGGCGGCCCTCCGCCGCCGCTCGGGGCGCCCGGGCAGCGGTGGCAGCCTGCCGCCGCACCACTTCGAAATGCCCGCTGACCACTTCG